TGGTACAATATTTGCTTATGGGCAAACGTCATCTGGAAAGACACACACTATGGAAGTAAGAAATCTTAAAATAATTTTCCTCTTAATGTCACTGTCATCTCTCTTCATCACAATAGCCTTATCTTTCTAGAAGTAAGATGTGTGCTTGTTTTCATCTTGCAATTTTAATTTTCTGTCCATTGTAACTTTTGATACCCAAAATGTTTTTTTAGGACTAAGAATGGCAATTATTATTTTATTTTTTTTTTTCAACCCTCAGTAGCAGGATGAGAAACACAAGAATAATACTACATTTTCACTTTTGGTGGTTTGGGAGATTTCTGAGGCTGTTCTTTTCACTCCTTGCAAATGTTGGGCCTAAATGAATGGTCAAGACTTTCCTTTATAGATGAAATAAGTGCACTGTACCTGTCAACATTTTAAAACCAGTTTGACAGCTAACTGTTTGGTTTGCCTTCAGATACTGTTTGTGATGTTGGATTCAGTGTGAATGTTTCAATTTATTGTATCTTTTTCTAATAAGGGGAAGCTTCACGACCCAGATGGAATGGGTATTATTCCAAGAATAGTGCAAGATATTTTTAATTATATTTACTCTATGGATGAGAATCTTGAGTTTCATATTAAGGTAAACTTTCTTCATTGTTACTTTCTTCATCTATATTAAAACTAGAAGTACTCTGTGGTTAAATGGATGTTCTGTATCTGTTGCAAGTGCCTGTAACTTGGAAAATCTAAACATGAGTTATTTCTGAAGTAACTGACTCTTCTTAAAGAAGAATTACATTAACACTTTAATCTTGTTTCCATTAAACGTTGATGGTAGCTATACTGATAACCTATGGCAAGGCTGATAGTGCTTGAAGATTTTGACCAGAATAGTTTCTTCAAGATGTATTTCAGTTCAGCCTTAAGGACTTGAGCTACATGTGGTATTATGTGGGAGGTCACAATAATCATGCTGGATCTTTCTGATCAAAAAGCAAAGCATTTCTGCTTTCCGATGCTGTATTTGTGTTCCTCTTCCCACTTCTAGGTGTCATATTTTGAAATATACTTGGATAAAATAAGGGACCTTTTGGATGGTAAGCCTTTTATTTATATTGAACATCGAAAATAAATTGTTCTGGAGAGAGATATTAAAAAAACCAACCAACCTTATCACGACACTGAGATAGGTTTGCAGTATGCCAATAAACTATACATGATAAGGGTCCATCAAAATGAGAAAGCATGGAGCTCATCTGTGTAATACTACTAAAGCTGCAGTAGTGGTTGTTTCATGTGTATTTAAAGTTTTTATAAAGTGTTGATGAGAAATAACATCTGTGACTCGTACATGCATTCTACATAGCTCATTCATTTTGCTACATTCATTTTGCAAAGAAATTTTATATACACCTTGGTTTTAGCACTTTTTCTCTTCCAGTTTCAAAGACCAATCTTTCTGTTCATGAAGACAAAAATAGAGTTCCCTATGTAAAGGTGAGCATCAGTCTGATATATTTTCATCTTTCACTCCTCTAGCTTACATCATTTACTTCTGGCTTGTTGGTGTGGTGATTTTTTTGCCCCCCTTTTTTGTTTTTTTTAAAGGGTTGCACAGAGCGTTTTGTATGTAGTCCAGAAGAGGTTATGGATACTATAGATGAAGGCAAATCAAACAGACATGTAGCAGTTACAAGTAAGTACTACCTTTTGTATCCTTTTAGTGCTTTATCGATTGGCTTCTGGTACGCCTAAAAAAATTGAGAAGACAAAACAGTGAGCTAAATAATTTGCGTTTTCGAAAGAGTCTAGCATAAGGAGTTTCAGCATGTCTTTCAGAAACAAGTGTTCCAATTAATTTCTTGTTAGATGTTGTTACTTAGGCTTGGGTTGAAAGGAGAAAGTGATCGGTGAGGAGCTTTGAATCACTGGAGAAAAAGGTGTAGTTCTGCATTAGGAATAGTGCAAAATCCCAGTGTGTAGAATTTGTTTCAATTAACCTGTGAATCTGTAAGTAAAGTGCTGTGACTTGTCTGCCATCCGGCTGTTCTGTTGCATATTCTAGGAAAAGATAATCAGAATATATATTCAGACATACTGCAGATTTAAGCAGCATCCCAGTGTCCCAAGCATTATGGTCTGTGACATGCAATTCAGCTGCAAGGAGCCATGTCATAGGTCTTTGAATTCCCACAAAAAGCAGGATTAGGAAGTGACAGAGTTATAAAAAAATAAAAAAGACAAGGAAAGATGAGGTGCATATGAAATAATACTTCAGTTCTTAGCGACTGAAGTGACTGTCAGAAGTCTTCGAGAGCCAGTTTGAGGTTGAGTTGCATAATCTTTCTGTGTCTAGGTTGTTACTCAGGAAAAGAAAAGAATACACAGTCATTAAGAAAATAAGCTGCTCCTTTTAGGCCTGTGAGGGATTTATCATTAAAACGAAGAATAAATAGGTATACGTTCTCATTCAGATTGCAGTCAGCTTCAATTTTGTTAATAAATTAAAATAATTATTTAAATTCAGTAAGTGCTGTTTACTCTGCACGTTTCACAGCAGAGGGGGCAGTATGTATTTAAACCAGAAAGGAGTGAGAAGTTGTCGTCATCTAGTTCCAATTTTCACAAAAGGATAAAATGTCGTATGTTGTAAATCTACCAAAAAAAGAAAAGAGTATGTTCTCACATCAGAATGTAAATGTGCTTTCTCTACTAATACAGTAAATTAAATGTATGAAATCCATAGTAGACAGGCTGGCAAATCTTATCAGTGAGCTTATGTAATATTGATAGAAGCCCAAGGGAGACTGGATCTTTGTTACTCAATTACATGATACTTAGTTTTATTGTCATTGGGAAACTGCTTTATACAGGGTCATTAGCTTTAGATCTGTTGCTTCACTGTAGGAAGATGCTGTTTTGTTGTTAGTTTGGTTGTACAAATATTCTTGACAATTTATGTATTTTGGATTATAGATATGAATGAACACAGCTCCCGAAGTCATAGTATTTTTCTTATTAATGTAAAACAAGAGAATACTCAAACAGAACAGAAACTAAGTGGGAAACTGTACCTTGTGGACTTGGCAGGTAGTGAAAAGGTAATTATAAATTTATTTCTCTCCAGTTGTTCTTTACAGTCAAATATTTTACATTACTGTAATACCAATTGTTCAGTTGTCATCTCTGAAGTGTTTTAATTTTGACTTTGAAATGTGGTTTCTGAATCCTGGTCTGGGTTGACTATTGGATACTACCTCTTTAAGCTGAACTGGATTCCTGCAGTGAGGGTTTGTAAGTATGGAATAGGGTGGGGAAATAGAATAGAGTTCAGTCTTGGTATCTGTGAGAGCAAAAGAAGTGTACAGGTGTGTTGGCTAGCCAGGTACTGGAATGAAAAGAGTTTTATGGATGTGAAATACCTGATTTTTTTTTTTTTATTTAGTGGGACCAAGTTTCTTAATTTGAAATTCTGATTAACATTGTTTAAAATGACAGCTTGGCTTTCGTGTGTTAGCGCTTAAAGCGGAGAAGGAAATATGTGTACCGTTTTGCTTATTCTGTGTTGCTTCTTATAGACTGTAATTAGCCTTTTAAGAGCTGGATTTTTGGTGTTCTTTTCGTCTTTGCTTCTGGGTCTATCCCCTTCTTCATCTCCAGCTTTTTTCAGTACTTTCTACTTGCTGTTGTCTTTCCTCATGTTCTTGTCCCATGGCCTTATTGTTGTCTCTGATCCTGTGTTTATTCTTAGTAATGGCCTCTCTCTTTTAATACTTCTAGTTTAATTCTCATTAAAGTGAGAACAAAGTTAAAGAAAAGTCTGAGTTGCAAGTCTCCTTTCTCTGGGTAATTTTGTTCCTTTCACTATTAATTTCAAACTTTGCTTTCATGCTTCTCCCAATCCTTTTGAAATACATGAGGTTTTCTGATGCCTTGTCTTGGGTTGGCTTAAAAGTAAGCAAGGAGAATTGCTTAGTTGTAGTCATGATCACAGCTTGGTGAGAAGAATAGTAAAGGGCAGGTTATAGAACTATTAATTCAAATTCAGCCCTTGAGGCAGAAGAGCTAAGGTAAATAGCATGGTGTCAGGGTAGATTTTTTTTTTTCACATTTCTGCTGATACCTACTTAAGTTCCTAGAGCACTCATGTAGATCAGATTCAGCCTCTAAAATCTGTTCTCACAAATTCTTGCTGGTACAGAATCTCTGCTACATTTTCCAGAGGGGTGTGGTGGTGGTGTGTGGTTTGGGTTTGTTTGGGTTTTTGTTTGTTAAGGATGACCTCTGGACAAACTATTCATAACTTAATTTACTTTAAGGAATTAAAACTTTCTGACAAACTTCAACCAACTTCTAAAGTCATTTATTTGATAGAAACTTTTAACTATATATATATCCTCTAGGAAAAGGCATATTTTGCAAGGACGATATTAACTTCAGTTTAAAAAATCAGAAACATCTTCAAACACTGAGTTCTGAATGAAAAATTGATGGTGAATCAGTGAAAGAGTCTGAGAAGGAGTTTGCTTGTTCTATTCCAACTTGCTTATGAGTACCTCATAAAGTCAGGGAGACTGACTTAAAAGCTGAAAAAATACTCTAAGCTTTATATTAAATGTGGAAGGTGTTTTTGAAGATGCATTTAGTAATTTACTGAAATATTGTATAGGTTAGTAAAACTGGAGCAGAAGGTGCTGTGCTGGATGAGGCCAAGAACATCAACAAGTCTTTGTCTGCTCTTGGAAATGTCATCTCAGCTTTGGCTGAAAGCAGTGTAAGTGTTCTCTTTTGTATTTTTATACTTTAAGGTTAAATAGGATATTATGCAGAAATTCTTTACTGATCTCAGTGGTATGCATGGGGTCTTTTAAACTAATCCAGTTGCATTAATGCATTGCAAATGTCTGTTAGTTTTGTACTATTGACCCTGATGCTTAATAAAGTTACATTTAATGTTCACATTTAATGTTGAGGCATCATCAATTAATCATCATACTGAAAGTTTGCTTGTACTCTAGAAGTTACCAAATGTACCATTTTGTGTTATCCTGTGTGTGTTCAGTCTTACAATTTATGAATTAAAGTAGAATGTAATGTCTTTCTAATGAAGTTATACCTAGCAAAAGCATAGCTCTTATTTCAACAAATTAAATACTGTGTCTGAAAAACCATGACTGATTTAATTTAACCATTTTCTTGGTAGACTTACGTTCCATATCGTGATAGTAAAATGACCAGAATCCTTCAAGATTCACTAGGGGGTAATTGCAGAACCACTATTGTTATTTGCTGTTCTCCATCTTCATACAATGAATCTGAAACTAAGTCTACTCTTCTGTTTGGCCAGAGGTGAGTAAAATACTTAGTATTTTGTTCTTACTATGCTCAGAAATAAATGCAGAATGAGAAATAAGTAAGTTCCTCTGTTAAGATTCCTGAACCAAATCAATTACAATGGTTCACTTTCTTTCTGTAGTTTTTCAGTGCACACGTGGCCAAGTGTTGTGATCTGACTTATGTAATATAAAAATCTTTAAACTGGCTAGGGTCCTGAAGAGTGTCTGTTTTCAGGAGGAAAGCATATAGTTTGGTTCAATGTGTAGTCTTGGAGGGTAATTAATACTCTGTTCATGGGGGTTTTTTCCCTAAAGTGGAAGGAGTTCTCCCCATTTGAACCCTTTGTTTGGTGGGAAAGCCTGTCCTCTGCCATCATTTCTTTGATACGCAGAATTACATCTTCTGATCCGTTTACTCTATCAAGCATTCCAGGAACATTTGAATTAATACTTATAAATTCCTGTGTCATTTGTAATTGCATTCGTAAGTACCCATTTCAAATTTGGTATTTTGTTAGGTATGTCTTCTTTGCCACTCTGTTATTAATGATTCATCATAATACTCTAGTTCCTGACCACTAGACTTAATCGCTGCATTTACTGGTGCATGTTAAGAAGGCTGTCAGCATTTTACGTAGTTTATCTGCTCTCCTGTGTTAGCATACCTCTTCCGTTTGGCTCAGCTACACAGTTTTCTATTGGTCTTTTCAGAGAAGTTTTTTTTGTTATGAAAAGTAGGCTAGATGACTTCAGAACTCCTTAAAAACCTGGGAGAATATGGGTAGTTAGTAGGTGTGGTGTAATGACTGCATTCTACAACAGTGGAAGTTTTTTAGTCTCCTTCTAGAATCTAGGAGGTGTTTTCCTTTCCTTGTAGTATTTTTTGAATGAGCCGTCAGGAATTGTCTTCCAGCTGTAGCTGGAAGAGTTTCACTGGCTTATAATCTTGACTTCTTCAGGAGTTAATAGAGTATGCTTCTATCTCAGCCACCACAGTTAGTCTGGTGTATTAATTCAGCCTTCTAGGGATGTTAAATTCATGTTGAAACCCTCGGCTGTAGTAACTGAGGACTAGATAAATCCCACGTAATTTAAGAGGAAATCATGTGTCTTTTGGTAGGAATCAGTCTCAATGAGACTTTGCAGAAAGATGCTTATAGGAGTCATAATATTGTGGGGGAGGGGGTGATTTCTAACTACTATTAAGCTTTTTTTCCTGTTTTGATCCTTGAGGGAGGGTATTTGGTAGCAGGAGACTATAAAGAAAAATTATGGAGGTAAGTGGGGTATGGCACTAAAGTAAAAACTATGTTAACTTCATTAATATGTCTTATTAGTGCCTGTAGTTTCGTCTCCAAAGCTGATGTCTGTGGATGAGGTTTGCATGACTGAATATAGACAATCACATCTGAACTTTATAGTTTGTACACCTTTTTGGTTAATGGAGATATAGTAACTGGATTTTTAGGTTGAAATGACGTGTTTCTTAAATGAGCTAGATGGTTTACACCCTAAAAGCATTATGCTCTCCATTGGAGAAAGGTTTGCTAGGTGTAGTGAATGCTACCCTTTGTTCAAAGCTGTGCACTACTGTCCTGACTTGAATTCTTTCAGGTGAAGGTGTACAGCTGAATATTCCCAGTGCAACCAGCTTGAGGTTTTTCAGTCTTCCCAAAGTTTATTATATTACTCTGTCCGTTAACAGTTGTATCAATCCAATTGAAAGGATAGTGAATTGACAGGGAGTAGAAATAAGCTTTTGGGAGAGGTGGGAATGTTTGAACTTTCACCAGTGATATGTAGAAATTTTATTTAATAGCCTTTAATTCCTTTCGTTAAAAATGAAGTTTCAGAGCTTTTTGCTCTTTTTATGTAGAGCAAAGACCATTAAGAACACAGTGTGTGTCAACGTGGAGCTCACTGCAGAACAGTGGAAGAAAAAGTATGAGAAGGAAAAAGAGAAGAACAAGACTCTGCGTAACACCATCCAGTGGCTAGAGAATGAACTCAACAGGTGGCGGAACGGTGAGAAGCAATTATATTTTGGTTCTGCAAGCTTTAGGCAAGACAGCAGATGCTGAATTAGTCTTCGGGGTACCAAAAATAACTAAGAGCACTGTGCAAGGCAGCAAAAGGAATATTAAAGATAGGATAATAAGTTGAGATTGGAACTTCATATTTTTCTCTGTATTGCAATTGGAACAGCTTCTAATAATCATGTAATGGCAAAAATGTCTCTGACTATACTGGTGTTAGGTTCATCAGCACTTGGTTTACTAGCAGAGGCAGAATTATGTACATTCTAAAAATTTAATTTGGAGGAGAAAAATATACTGTAATTGTAAATGCAGAAACTGAGTAAAATATTTCCTCTGGTTTGGTTTTCTAATTCAAATCAATATTACAAGTTCTTGTCCTCATGTAAAACTCAAAACAGGTTAATAGGCAAAAAACCCACCTAAACCCCAAAACTGCTGACAGTACAGAATGTGTGCCCATTCTTTTTTCCTGAATAATTAACTTATTGATTGAAGTGTCTGGCAATAAGTGTCATACTTAGATGTATTCTGGAGTTTGGCAGCTATAGAAGATGATTTTGCAATCTTGTAGACAACTACACCACATCCTGATGTGAATCTGAGGAAAATGGGCTCACTTAAATAAGTTTAATAGGATGTGATTATTATTTTTTTTTTAAATCTTTTATAGAGCTGGTATGAGGTCACACCTCAAATGTTGAGTATAGTTCTTCCAGAATATTGACACAAGATACTGGAGTGTTGGAAAGAGCCCATACCTTCCAAGGACTGCATAAAATGTCTTGTAAAAAGGCACTAAGGAATTCAGTTGAGTTTACCAGAGAAGTACCTTGATTAGCATGCGGTACTTTTTCTGTGTGAAGTTAGTTAAGTGTTCTCATCAGAAAAGGCTTAGTGAACGTAGAAGATTAAAAGTGTAACTGAAAAAATGTTTTCAGTTAGAAGCAAAGCAGTTTAAAAGTAAATACGACTACCTAGCAAAACAGACTGCCAAGGGAAAAGATTTGCTGTCTCTAGGGCAAGTTAGGTGCCTTTCTAGAGGATATTGTTTGATGTGAGATTTGGAGCTCATAGCAGAGTAACTGGGTGAAATATAATGTTCTGTGGTAAGCAAGAGGTGGTTTGGATGATCTAGTGGTCGTTTTTTTACCATGTAATCATGTGCACTCAATTGCTTATTAACTGTGGAGCAGTACTGTTAGTAGGGAGTATGTAATACTTCTCAAGGCTAACTTTGTGGAAGATATTTTATGGCTGACTGTACTAAAAGTAAGTATGTTCTTTTCTTTAAGGGGAGACTGTACCAGTTGATGAACAGTTTGACAAGGAGAAGGCCAACTTAGAAGCTTTTGCAGTGGACAAGGATATTACTGTTATTAATGATAAACCAGCTACCACCATTGGAGTAACTGGCAATTTCACTGATGCTGAGAGAAGAAAATGTGAGGAAGAAATTGCCAAACTGTACAAACAACTGGATGACAAGGTATGCCATTCTTATTTAATGTAAGAATCCTTGGATATAGATCTTGAACTATTTTAGGTAATATTTAATTTTCCAATCTTCATTGGTTAGTACAGCTTGCTTAAGTATTTGCTGGGAGTGCCTACTCTAATTCTGAAACTCTGATTAAGAGAAATCGAAACTGCGTTATCTGGTGCTAAGTATCCTTCTTAGTTGTGCTACCTTCTTTGCTGAAACTACTAAAAAATGTCCTGAAAACTAAAGTATCAGTACATAGAAAAAAAGTTAAAAATAAAAGTTAGGAAGGAAAAGTTAATGAGAATCCTGAACGGTATTTGTGCTTTCTGGATGTAGAACATTCCTAGCTGATTGTTTGGAATAATACTGTACCAGAAAAAGGAAATAAAGAGAAAGCAAGAAAATAAGTCATATGAAGACAGCAGTTTTTTCCTTCCACATTATGCATATTTTATTTAAACATCATTTTAAATTTAAGCAGTGATACTAAATTTGGAGCGGGAAAAGAAAATATTTTAATTAAATTCTGATTGTTTTTTGGAAATTAGAACAACTTGGGGAAGACTTGCAAAAGCACAGATATAAGAGTTTTGTCTTTGAAGCATGGTGTTTTGCACACACATGCCAGGGTAAGAGCCGAGTGGATCAGCCAGTGAAATCAAAAGGATTAATTTTTTTTTTACTTTCATTGCTTTCAGCTGTGTAATGGCCTCAGAATATGGAAAAGTTATATGCCTAACATCTATCTTTTAGATTATTTTTTGTGAGTGGTGTTTGTCAGTTTATTGAACACAGTCTTACTTCAACTGCAGGATGAAGAAATTAATCAGCAGAGCCAACTAGTAGAAAAACTGAAAACACAAATGTTGGATCAGGAAGAGGTAAGTTTTGCTCTTACATTTTTATTCTATTTTTTGTTTGTCTTTCCTTTAAAGGAATTTGAGATGTTCCAAATAGGTCACAGTTTATGACCAGGGAGTAGAATGATGGCTTAATACTGTACAATTCTCTGTTCTGTACTGGTCTGTGTTTTTCCTTATCTAAATGCTCTGCCTGTTCATTCCACCCACTTACACTGTGCTAATGGCTAAACTTAAACCAGTTTATTTGAACTTTAAGTATCTATGAAGTTTGAAGGAATTGAAATATTTTATGCAAAGACATCAGCAGTTGTTTTCCCCATGCAAAGCTAGCAGTTTGTCAAAACTGAAAATACCTCGGTTTACTGTTAAGAAATCTGGTTTAAAGTTTAATTTTGGTCAGTTGCTGTACAGAGAGAGAAGGGGGAGGAGGGAAATGTAGTGACCCATAATGAAAAAGGAAGTATCTATGTGTTACTTCAGACCATACTTGCTAGAATATTCAAACAATTTGTATTCACGTGATGTAATGTAATTAAATGCAGAAAATGCCTATTAATAATGAAATTGTTAATTTTGTTTAGCCAAGATATTAGAAAAATCAATTCTATATAGCACAGAGATTAAAAAAAAAAATATTTGTGTACCTGGCAAGAAGGAAACGGGTCGAGGACTCAGGAAGTTGGAGCTACTATTTAATCTTTTTATTTAAATAGATAAATCTGCCTCTTTAGCCACTGTTCACTTTGTCTAGTTATTCTTCAGCAGCTAACAGTGTTAAAATGCTGGAAGTTTAGTCCCTAGCCTGTTGACAGTTTCAGACTCATGAAGAGTGTTCACTGGCCTTTTTGAGAACTTGCAATATTCCACGTGCATTTCTAGTTGCTGTCCTTATGTGTTGTGATTTCCAATCTCTTCCATTTTGAAAATACTTTAAAAGCTAAAGAACTATGGATATAGAGGATAAATTTAATTGTTTATTATACTCTCACTGTACCTGTCCTTGGCACCCTTATTGCATGATGCTAGACACTAAAAACGTACATATAGGCTACTGTAGCAGCTAAAAGCATTAATAAGATTCAACTTATACATGGCATTCTCTTGATGATTATTTCTTGTTGTAATTTTAAATAAACCTCTGTCAACATTGCAGCTTCTAGCATCGACCAGGCGGGACCAAGATAACCTGCAAGCAGAGTTGAATCGCCTTCAGGCTGAAAATGATGCCTCTAAAGAGGAAGTGAAAGAGGTGCTACAAGCCCTTGAAGAATTAGCTGTCAATTATGATCAGAAGTCTCAGGAAGTAGAAGATAAGGCAAAGGAATATGAACTGCTTAGTGATGAACTCAATCAAAAATCGGTACGGAATTGGGATAAGAAATTACTAACAGTCTTAGAAGAAAAGTTACAAGAAAAGTATAGTTACAAGAAAAGTGTGTAAGTTACAAGAAAAGTGTAACTCTTCTTGCCTTACATGCATTTCTTGCTTGAAGTCATTTAAAGGTAAAACTTCTGGCATTTTTTTAAAACTGGAGAACAAAGAACAGACAACTTTTGAGTATGCAGGCTGCTGAGCTGCAGCCATTAACAACCACAGCAGCTGAAATTAGCTGAAAAACTGCTCTAGAGTAAGTGTAGTGTAGCTTATGAACTCTCTGAACTGGTACTAGTGTCCACGTAAATGTAGTTCTCTTCAACATTTAACTGTATATAACTCTGAATGTTGTTTAACAATGTTGACATGAATTTTGTTGCGGAGTTGTAAGATATTTTTGTGAGCTGAAGGCTTCTGTCTCCAGTACTTTACATTTCTTTCAGAAATACTGTCACTCTAGGACTTAAAAATTTTTGCTGTATGGTCTGTTCACATAGGCTGATACCAGTCTGGTTTTAGTCATAAAAATAGGACATTTCAGTAGGCAACCACATGTTGCTGTATTTAAATAAGTGGTATGAAACTAGTTCTAAAAATGAGAGTGTGTTCTGTTTATTAAAGTGTAACTTTTTACTGTAGGTCACTCTGGCCAGTATAGATGCAGAGCTTCAGAAACTTAAAGAAATGACCAACCATCAGAAGAAACGAGCAACAGAAATGATGGCCTCATTACTAAAAGATCTTGCAGAGATAGGAATTGCAGTAGGAAATAATGATGTCAAGGTAAGAATTAGTCAGTACAACTTTTAATGCTATGTATAACACACTTTGTGGATAGATGGGGTCAATTTTCTTAGTACGGTCAAAATAACCACCATAGCACACCTCATGTATATTAATAATCTAGGCATAAGCTTATCCATTGCTTATACTGTGACGTAATCAGGTCCCAAATAAATTTGATTATGCAAAGACAAGGAAGAGCAGGTATGATTTTTTTTCTGAAGTAGTGTTTTCACTCATACTGTTAAACTGCTATGTGAAATAGTCATAATCAACAGCATCACCTTGGAAAACTAATGCTGACCTACAATGGCACTCAGAATGACACTTATATTAAAAACCATATGAGGAACCGAAATAAAAGATAAATCTAGAAGATCACTGTAGGACAAGAATGTAAGCAGTGTTAGAAATCTATAGTGGACTGTATTTCGCTCTTCAAATGACTCATCACCTCTGTACAAACTTACAAATAATCAATCAGAAAACTTAAAAAAAAAAAAAAAGTTGTATTTTTGGTGTTTAAATGCTCTGATAATCAGTTGAGATGGGGTATGTGTGCTGGGCACCAAGTTGCTCCAGCTCATCTTTAATTCTGTTTTGTTATCTGAGCTTTCTAAATGTGTCATTCCATACTTTTCAGCAGCCTGAGGGAACTGGCATGATAGATGAAGAATTCACAGTTGCGAGACTGTACATCAGTAAAATGAAATCAGAAGTAAAAACAATGGTAAAACGGTGCAAGCAGTTAGAAGGCACACAAGCTGAAAGCAATAAGAAAATGGAAGAAAACGAAAAGGAGTTAGCTGCCTGCCAGCTCCGTATCTCACAGGTGAATGTTTCTTTACAGTGTGCTTCCTAAATGTTCTTTTGAATTCATTAACCTGTTGGGGTGAAAAAAATGTTGCAATTTTTTTGACACCTGACAAAACACATTGTGATTGAACAGCCACAAGACTCAGCTATATCCTCAGTACCCTCTTTGAGTTGGATGCTTCTGAGTAATTGTGTTGACAGGATGTCAGAATTTCTGCAACACGTCTGCAGCCTAATGCTTTTGCAGCACATGTACTACATACTAAGGTCCATATGTTCTCCATCACAGGATCCTTTACAAATACAGAAGCTGTGGCTAGTAAGCACTCTGCCCAGTAATGCAACAAGTTGGAAGTGGGAGAAATAGCCATAGCACAGTAAAATTGCAGTAGGCTTGCATAGCAGATTAAATTTACTTCTGATGTGAGAAAGGCTGTTTAAATGTGATTGTTAGAAAAGATTAGTAATGTGACTTTCTCAAAATTCTGGTCTACATATGCAATTTAATTTTTCTGTATTTTGTTTTACATACAGATGGTCATCCTTTTTTTAAATTGAGATGCATATTTCAGTGCAATCTTCTAAATACAGTGGGTTTCTCTTGCCTTTAATAGTATTTAACACTCAAAGCATCTCTCCTCCCAGCTGTAAATGTATTTCATTCCAATCCAGAATGAAGACTTACAGGCTGCATTACAGATCTGCTTGAGTAGTCTTATTATTAAAGTTTAGGTGACGCCTCTTTTGTTTTGAGATCAGATTATTTGTTTAAAAATAAGTATAAACTGTTTATGCAGATGTGATTCCATGATACCTAGTTCCAAACTAAATGAATCTTTCTATTCTGCAAGCATGAAGCCAAGATCAAGTCATTGACTGAATATCTTCAGAATGTGGAACAGAAGAAGAGACAGCTGGAAGAGTCTGTGGATTCCCTTAATGAAGAATTAGTACAACTCAGAGCACAGGGTAGGAATTGCCTCCCTACACGCCACCCACCGGCTGCACCATTTTAAGTAGATAGTGGTAAATAGGGAATTGTTCTATTTAGATTGAAAGGCAGAGCTGTAGAATGGCTTTTTGCTACTGAACATGTAGAATTAATCAATGGGAAAGCATGTTTGCTCTTTGAAAGAACTGCTACGGATAGGATTAAATTAAAGATGTTACTGATTTAATTGATCTTGTGGTGAGAGAGGACTTCTTACAAATTTTAAGTTATTGGGAAGGGGGAATTAGCTCCATCTTCCCTTTGATCACCTAGTTACCTGGCTGATATGTGTTTTCTCGCCTCTATTCCTACTAGAAAAAGTCCATGAGATGGAGAAGGAGCACTTAAATAAGGTTCAAACTGCAAATGAAGTCAAGGTAAGTTAATTACATTGTTGTGTTACAAAAACCAAAACATAAAGTGAAGTATGGCAACTTCTTAAAGCGTATAATATATGCTGGGTTTTTTTTTTCTAATAGCAAGCTGTGGAACAGCAAATTCAAAGCCATCGTGAGACACATCAGAAACAAATCAGTAGCCTAAGAGATGAAGTTGATGCAAAGGAGAAGCTTATCACTGAACTTCAAGAGTAAGTAGTTGTTGTTACTTTAGTAATGCCACATGTTTCTGGACTGTGTGAGTACAGAAGCACAGTGTGGTGGGAAGGGAGTGGCAAGGGTTTCCTCCAGCACTGTCTTAACAGGCATTCTATCTTGTGTTGCTGAATGTGATGTCTGACACATTCATTTGATATAATATTTACTTTCTGTGTTCAGCCAAAACCAGAAGATGATGCTTGAACAGGAACGTCTTAGAGTTGAGCATGAGAAGTTGAAAGCGACTGATCAGGAAAAAAGTAGAAAACTGCATGAACTTACGTAAGTGATAATGGTGCCTAAAACACATGCGTGTGGAGACACATCATTTTAAAAACTAGTGACCTAAAGTGGTTCTCATAGCATGATATGCCTACTAAAGGGGTTCCAAAACCTTCTTGAACTTAGCTTTTTCAAAACCTTTGCACAGCCTTAATATTTAGAATTGGAAGTAAAATGATGAAAGATACAGAGGCCACAACTCTTCCTTTGTTAATATGTCATGGGTTGGAGTAATTAACTTTTCAATCTGCAGCTAAGTGTTGCATGATTGGAAGAGGCTTGTAACAGTTCCCTTACTCTTTTTTTGATTCTTGTGTTCCCTTACTCTTTTTTTTGATTCTTGTGTGATTTAATTAGTTAGGTGGTTCCAACTGGCTTATCCTTGAGGTTAAACAGCTGCATACTTCATTGACTAACCAACAACAGTGTATTAGTGAATTAGAGACTGAAAAGTTAATGCAAAAATTAGAATTTAATTCTGCTTGCAGGTAAGTATCAAGGGTCAAGCTGAAAAACAGTTCTCAACTTCTAGAAATCTGACTATGATCTCCTGGAAATGTTCTAGTGTATCAGTAGCGACCCCCTAAGACATTATACTTAAAACTTTTTCAAAAGTGCATGCTTTTTGACCATGTTTAAAAACACACAGCAGCTTCCAGGTTTTTATCATAGAATTTGAAATGATCAAAGGCGTCTGACTGGTCTGTACTGGTAACCAATAAGCAATGCTTACTTTTTTTCTTTTAGCCTTACTGTGAAATCCAGTGTTGGTTTGACTGACTAAAATTTCAACAGTTCTCTGGTTTTGTGAATCTGTCTTACTGAATTATTTGTGTGTCACAATGATGATAAAAGTTACATTAGTTACAGTAGGTTTTCTTGTCTTGCAGGATTTGATGTACATACCACGTTATTGCTTCTTATTTCAGTTTGCAGGCTAAACTATATATAGCATTGATTGCTTAAAGGCACTTGCTATATTAGAAACTTTCCTCTTTAAAAGGCTTGCAAAGGAGCATTAAAAATTAGTTTGGTGTTCTGTGTCCTCCCCCAGTCTTTTAGAATCCAGTTATTTTCCACTGTATGTGGCAATGTGTATGGCAAATGGCAGGCCAGAAACAATGCAGATTATTCACTCTTGTGTTTTTGGTTTGTTTTTTTTTTGGGGGGGGGCGTTTCTGAAAGAGTTGTGTTAGATGCCTGGAACTACTTTTCCAGTGAAGTCTGGAAAATCGATAGGGTGCTGAGATATTCTTTAGAATATTTTATTACCTCAAATGTTTAATTATTAGCTGTGAACTAGTAGTGGAACTGACCAAGTAAGAAGAAATTTTAAGAGCAAAATAAGCTTTTTGGCTTCTTAATAGGAACACTTCATTTTCATGCATTCCCTGGCCTTTGTATTTCAACCTAGGATAAGATCTCCTGAAGTATTCATTCTGAACCTGACTGTGAGAGTCTTTCTTTACCTATTCTAGAAACTTAATTTATGCATCTGAATGTACTTGTTTGTATTCTTTCAATTTTAAAAGTGCTTTCTTGTCCTCCTGCAACATCCCTACTCCCACCCTTCACCATGTGGGTTTGCAAGTGTGATGTCATCTGTTGGTTCCATCCTTAGTTGAAGACTTCAACTGAAAGACACTTTTCATTTGTACTGTGTAGTGTTTATCACTCTAGTCTCCTAAAACATTAAAATTTCTGATTTTGCTTAGATGTTTCAGGATGAATTTGTTCTCTTTTAGGGTTATGCAGGACAGGCGGGAACAAGCAAGGCAAGATTTAAAGGGTTTGGAAGAGACTGTGGTAAGATAGTCAGAATATATTCCAAAGCGAATGTCAATATTTTTTTTTTTTTAACCCCTTCAGAGTTATTTTTAATTTATTTTTGTTTTTTGATTTCTTGTCCTTAACTGTAGGCAAAAGAACTTCAGACTCTTCACAATCTTCGGAAGCTGTTTGTTCAAGATCTAGCTACTAGAGTGAAAAAGGTAACGTGGTGCTATAGTGAAACTTGGTGTTTCTGACAATGCTACATAAATTTCAGTTTAGAACTGAACTAGGAGTTGATCTTTATGCAGGGTAATTTTTGTGGCTTAATCTTAATATGCAAGTTCAGATTTGTACTCAGCCTCCTCTCTCCCTCCCTGTGCCTTTGTACTGCAGAGTGCCGAGATTGACTCGGATGATACAGGAGGCAGTGCTGCACAAAAACAGAAGATTTCCTTCCTTGAGAATAATCTTGAACAGCTTACAAAGGTTCACAAGCAGGTATGGTGAGACTTAATTTCATGTTTTAACTACTTAGGATGCGTTATTATAGAAGTGACCGAATGCATATTGGTTATAAAGTAACTGTTCTGTAATTAAATTATTCTACACCTTGAGTGTCTCTCTTGATAAAAGAACAATGTACTAAAGTTTTCCTGTAAAAGTAAATTAATAGCTATTTTAAGTGCATGTGCATATGTAACAAAATAGCCGAGTTTAAACTGAAGAAGGTCCAAGTTAGTGTTTAGAGTTAGTGTATCAGTCTAGGGGGTGCTTGCCTGTCTCTTGACTGAAGGAGAATGTAAATTTTTAAGTGCCTGTGTTGGGTAGCATGTTCTTCCACAGTAACAGATTTTCAAATGACGATCTTACTGATCACAGCATCACAGGATGTTGGGGATTGGAAGGGACCTCCAGAGATCATCCAGTCCAATCCCCCTGCCGGAGCAGGAACCTAAATGAGATCACGTAGGAAGGCGTCCGGGTGGGTTTTGAATGTCTCCAGAGAAGGAGACTCCACAACCTCCCTGGGCAGCATCAGTTCTGTTTTTGCAGCTGGTACGTGATAATGCAGATCTTCGCTGTGAACTTCCTAAACTGGAGAAGCGACTTAGGGCTACAGCTGAAAGAGTTAAAGCTTTGGAGTCTGCACTGAAGGAAGCCAAAGAGAATGCTTCTCGTGATCGCAAACGGTATCAGCAAGAAGTAGATCGTATAAAGGAAGCTGTAAGATCCAAGAACATGGCCAGAAGAGGACATTCTGCACAAATTGGTTAGTAAAGAATCCCTTGCCCCCTAAGGCTTCATCTGTCTTCTGATTTGTATTTTTTTTTTTAATCTTTGTGCATGTGTGCATCTTTCAGCCCTAGTTAGAACTGCATGTGTGAACATGGTGTATTTTCTACCATGAATTCTGTTTTAGTTAATAGAGTAAGTGTGTGGGGGTGGTGGTGGATGGTTGTTTGGTGTTTATTTGGGGTTTTTTTTTAATTTTTAATTTGGAATTAGTTTCTTCCTGGTAGCTGGACTTTTGAACATGCTGGGAAAGGCTTATGAACCTAGAATTCTAGCCTGAATGTGTGTTCCATTTCCTAGAACAAAACAGTACACTGAATGTGAGTCTTAAGTCTGCAACATCATTCCAATTTCTAAGACTAAGTAGGTATTCCAAAGCAAGGAGAGAGATGAAGCCATCATCTTAAACAACAACAAAATTGTCTTGCTGTCTCTTGATCTTTAAGGGAAGAGGGGCAGACAAACCCACCGCTAACATGCTCAGATCCCCGGTTACTTGTTTGGTTCTTTGTTCTGAAACTTGCTGTACTCTATAGCGCTGCTTAGGGGAAAAGAGTGGAAAAACCAGCAATGTGAAGTAGCGAGTAGTGTTTCTTACTGTCTGGTGGGAGGGCAGTCGTACTCCCTTGATCCTCCAGCTGCCGTTATGCTGTCAAGTGCTGAGCGCCAAGAGAGTGTGTGACCTGTGGAGGGCTTAACTGTGCCCGTTACATTATTGCTGTAGCAGTTAACTGTGTGTTCCAGACTTTTTGTTGTCCTGTGTCAGGACTTAAGTAATCAATCACTTCTCTTAAATGCTAATGCAACTGAAATGAGCATTGCAGTTAAACTTTGCTCATATTCTGTAGGTCTGCAAAGAACTGTTGCACAGTAAAGTTATTTTTCTCTTGGCTGCTTCAAGCGGCGACTTGAAGGCAGGTGCTTTCCTGTCTTTCTCTCAAGGGATCTCCAAGAAGACAATAGAATGCTCTAGTGAGCTTACCACAGGTATAAAGCCTCTTGTACTTAAACATCTAAATGAACTAGTCATATCTTACTGGAGATCAACTTCCTGTAAGGCAGAATTTGAGAAGTCTTTCTCTGATGCAGTTGTTACCTGTAGGTACTTTGTATCCACTCTTACCTGCTGAAACTTTAAATGCTTCTGTTTAATACTACAGAACTTTGTAAAGTCATACTGTTGTGCATGTCCTGTTAAGAGAGAGTGCAAAACTGATTGAAAACATAGTTTATCAAAGTGTGTGCAAATTGTGAATTACCTGTCAAAACTACTGTTTTTTTTAATTCAGTAATAGAGCAAGTTTTATTTTCATATGGTGGTAAGAAGTTGAGGAAGCAGTGTTATCTGTGGAGTAACCAATATGCATAACCTCTTGCAGAGTAGAGTAACTAGTGGCTTATCCATCAAGTAGGTGTGGGGAATACAGCAAGGTATAATGGTTCCTTATAGGAACGTAACCCTCGTGAAACTTTGTCTAGCTCTGTGTCTTATTTGAGTTCTTATTGCCAAGAAATAGGATTCTCTCACAGGGCAATACTTTAGGTGGGGGCAGATGATACATGTGAAGATAGTAATTATCAAAAGCTTTGCTAGCTTTAATTCTGCTGGGGACTATAAAAGAAAAACCTTGTCTATTTTTCAGGGCTTGTTATAGCTGACACTAATCTGTTAGGTTCTGAGAATACAGTCTCCTAAACTTGTTTTCTTATTCAAAGTGCATTCAATTTTGATTATTACATTTAGGATACTGTAAAATAAA